CCTGCCCTCCACCTCCCCAATCCTGACCCCCAGCTCAAGTTGGAAATTCTGACTGTCCAGCGCCTTGGGACGTCGTTCCGACGTGAAAGGTGCTACACAAATGTAATTTTGTTTTTGTTGTTGTCTTCGGTTGCCTGTAGCACGCCTAACAGATCCTTTTATTTTTTTTAAAAAAAACATTCTAAACATCTGATCAAGGTGAGACAAAAAACGTTTGATTTGCTAGAAAATGTTTTAAACTAAAAGTGTTCAAAGAGAATGCTGATCAAAAAATAGAAGGAAAAAAAGGGGTGATAATAATAATAATAATAATAATAATCCTTGCATTTGATATAGCGCTTTTCACGTCGAGAGGACGTCCCAAAGAGCTTCACAGAAGCCACTGTAAAGTGAATTGACTGCATATTTGTGGGCGAACGCGGCAGCCAATTGCGCACAGCAATGTCCCACAAACAGTCGTAGATTGAAAATGACCAATTTAGTATTATTTTTGGTTTTGGAGGGATTATTAGATAGGTAATATCTTTAAACTAATAATCCTTGCATTTGATATGGTGCCTATAACATCGAGAACATCTCAAAGTGCTCCACAAAATTCCCGTGAAGGCAGTGACTGTACTTTGTAGGCGAATGTCACAATCAACTTGCTTTATTTTAATCTTTGTTTCCTTTTTGTTTATTTTTGTTGGTTAGAGTTGATATTAGAATAACAATAATAATTCAAGCATTTGGTACAGTGCCGAGAATGTTAGAAAGTGTCAAAGTGCTTCACAGATGATTATTATGAACTAGTATAGCTATCAAGTGTAGTGACTGTGTGCTTGCAAGCAAATGGATCTACCTAATCTTTCTTTACTAACTCCATCCTCATACACCGCCTCTCCTCTTTACTTAATCTTCGCGGACCTGCCCTTGCTTGGATCGAATCCTATCTCTTTCACAGTCTCCACTTTGTTGCATCTAACGGTTTCCCCTCCAGCCCCCGCACTGTCACATCTGGCGTCCCCCAGGGCTCTGTCCTTGGCCCTCTGCTCTTTAATATCTACATGCTCCCCCTTGGTGAATTCATCCGCAGACATGAGGTCAACTTCCATATGTATATGGATGACACCCAACTGCCTCCACCCTCAACTCCAGGACCACTGGTGTCCTGACGGACTGTCTGTCGGACATCAAGTCCTGGATGAGGGCAAATTTCATACAGTTGAATGTGAGCAAGACTGAGGCCCTCCTGTTTGGCTCGCGCCAGCGCCTCAGCACCTCAGGCTCTGACAGCATCAACCTCCATTGTTACACAACTCAACTCACCAAAGCCAGTCAGGAACCTCGGTGTCTTGTTCGATCCTCAACTGTCTTTTCTTCCCCACATCCAAGCCATGACCCGCTCTGCCTTCCTTCACCTCCGTAACATCGCCCGACTCCGCCACTACCTCACCCCTCAGGCCACTGAAACTCTTGTTCGTGCCTTCATCACTTCCAGACTCGACTATGCAAACGCTCTGCTTGTCGGCCTTCCCAACTCCTCCCTCCACAGACTGTAGATAATCCAGAACTCTACAGCTCGTGTCCTCTCCCGCATCAAACTCCGTTACCCCATCTCCCCCACTCTCGCCCGACTCCACTGGCTCCCTATCCTTCAGAGGATCCAATTCAAGATCCCGTTCCTCACCTACAAAGCCCTCCATGGCATCGCCCCACCCTATCTCTGCGACCTCCTAACCCCCTACCAACCCGCCCGTTCCCTCTGCTCAGCCAGCTCCGGCCTGCTCCACGTCCCCCGCCCCGCCCGCCCCACCATTGGCGGGAGAGCCTTCAGTCACTCTGCCCCCAACCTCTGGAATTCCCGCCTCAAAACCCTCCTCTTCGACCATGCCATCGGTCATCCCCCTTCCCCTCCCTGACCCCAGCTCGGGTCTGAAATGCTGTACACTGTCCAGCGCCTTGGGACGTCCTCCCGATGTGAAAGGCGCTATACAAATGTAATCTTGTTGTTGTTGTTTATATTGGTTTATTGCTATTTGTAAGTCCATCAGTCCATTTGCTAACAAATACACAGTCACTGATAACAATAATAATCCTTACATTTGATATTCACACTTTTCATGTTGGGGGAATGTCTTAAAATGCTTCACAGGATGTATTGTAAAGTTCTGTGACAGTTTTGTAGGCAATATGAACTGCACTTGATAGAAATAGCCTGGGAAGCACTTTGTTAACAAATGTCAACACATAGCCTGCTTTTTTAGTGTTTTTGAACAACACCCTGCATTATCTACACAGCCTGGTTGGTTCATAAAGTCAACAGTGAGATAGACCTGCCAGAAAGTTAAGAGTTAAATAAGCACGGCTTTGAAGGCTTTAATCAAAGGGCTTGTGTCACTTCATTGGTGTATTTGGGACATCGCTGTGCGCAAACTGGCTGCCGGGTTCACCCACAGATACAGATTTGCAGTAAATCCTGTGAAACACTTTGAGACGTCTCGACAAAGTGATAAAGCAGAGTGGGAGTCAAGAGTGGTGAATTGTATAACCCTGTCCCACAGAGTGATCGCACCAAAATTCATCTAAGATGCTCTTAAGGGTTAAAAAAGGAGTGTTTTTTGTCATCCAGTAATGCGTCAGACAGCATTGTATGAAATACAAAGATTCTAATGATTATTTTATGATATGTTTCTCATTAGATGTCCAGAAACAAAATGACTAAATATAAGGTATTCCTAAACAATCAGTTGTAATAATAATAATAATCCTTGCATTTGATAACAGTTGTTAATACTGAAAAGCCTCAAAGCGTTTCAAAGGTAAATGACGTCAAGTGTAGTGACTGTCTGTTTGTTAGCCGATGTGTCAGTCAATTTGCACACTGCAAGTTCCCACATTATGTGAATGCTGGATTAATTATAGGACTGCTAGCTAGGACACCAGGAGACACTTCTTTCTCTTTTCCAATAGTATCATGGGATCCTTCATGTCCACCTGAACAAGGGGACAGCGCCATGGACAATACAGTGCTCTCTATTGTACCGAACTGGAGTGTCAGCCTACACCAAGAGCTCGTATAGTGAATCCTTATCACTTCAGTAACAATCCCCACCTTCCTTACCGGATTCATATTCTATCCATTACAGAGATGTACAAACCAGTTTCCATCATCAGAAACCACAGGTCTAGGAAATACACAGAGCCAACTATTTGAATGAATAAAGATCGCAGGTGTGAGCTGTGTTTAAATGAATTGTGCCCAACCAGAAGAGGGAGTGAAATTTAAAGCGTATCACGAACACATTCGATGTGATAATTGCTTCATTGGATATGTTATGAAACCCTGCAAGTTTCACCCCATCTACGCATGTATCATATCCACACTGCGCCTGTAACATGTGTCTTAATAATAGTAATAATAATAATCCTTGCATTGATATAGCGCCTCATCACATCATTGAGACTTCTCAAAGCACTTCACAGGGTACACTGTAAAGTGTAGTGCCTGTGTTTTTTGTGGGCGAAACACAGCAGTGTCCCACAAACAGTCAGGGATAGAGTGACCAAATTATTATTATTTATTTATTTTTGGAGGTAATATTACCCCCGGAAAAGTGATCTGCCAATCGACTAACAATTGGGTTCCCACTTACTGCTAGGTACAACAACAAAATTACATATGTATAGTGCCTTTCACATTGGGAGAATGTCCCAAGTCGCTGGACCATCAGTGTTTCGGACCTGAGCTGGGGGTTGGGATTAGCCAGATTGGAGGGCAGGGGGGAAGGAGGGTGACCAAAGGCACTGTCGAGGAGGAGGGTTTTGAGACAGGTCTTGAAGGAGGCAAGGGAGGGGGTGAGGCGGAGGGACTTGCGGGATGGAGTTCCAGAGGATGGGGCAGAGTGGCAAAAGGCCCTCCTGCCAATGGTGGGGTGGGCGAGACAGGGGATGTGAAACAGGCCAGAGCTCGCTGAGTGGAAGGAGCGGGCAGGTTGGTAGGGGGTTAGAAGATTGCAGAGATAGGGGGGAGCAAGTCCATGGAGGGTTTTGAGGACCAGAGTCTTGAACTGTATCCTCTGTGTGATGGGAAGCCAGTGGAATCAGGGGAGGATGGGGGTGATAGGGTCACGGAGCCTAGTGCAGGAGAGGACATGGACTGCAGACTTCTAGATAATCTGCAGCTGTGGAGGGATGAGGTGGGGAGACTGACAGGCAGGGACTTTGCGTATTTCAGCCTGGATGTTATGAATGAGTGTATGAGGGCCTCGGCGGCCTGCGGTGTGAGACAGTGTGAGACTCGCAGGGCGATGTTGTGGAGGTGGGGAAGGCAGAGCGGGACATGGCACGGATGTGGGGTAGAATGGATAGTTGAGGGTCAAACAAGACGCCAAGGTAAACAGAGGCATGTGGAGTAAGGAAACTTGCCTAAGGTTTCGCCCTGCCCGGGCATTGAGTTCTCTCGCTTGTGAGATGGGTGCTCTAACCGATAAGCTACAGGACTCCACAACTTGTCTTTGTATGCAGCGGAGATTTGAGCAATAAACGAACCTAACAGAGACTGGGCTGTGCTTTGCTACCTAATAGCAATTGATATCATATGTTCAATCTTATTAGAGACTAACTTGTGTGTCTAGCCTTGCCCAGCTCACTAAACACAGCCAACTCAAGTGTTAACATAACCATAAGCAGGTTTTTTTTTAGCATCTCTCGTCTGGGACATCTGACTTGCTTAAATTCGTTCCTTTCCCCCAATTCAAGAAAACATCAAGCTCGCCCTCAGGACATGCAGATTTATTAAAAAATAATGATTTAAGACAAAGAATATTTTTTCAATGAGAGATCCATAATCTCTGGGTTGCATCTGCTGCAGGCAACCATTCATAAATGATCTCATTACAAACCCAGTGACAATGACAAATGACACTCGCTACTGTTCTCAGTCCAACAGCACTGGGGGAGCTGGGCAGGCAAAGAGGATAAGGTTGGGGGAAGTGAGTAAGAGAAAACCGTATCCTCACCCACGCTGGAGATCCTCTGAGTGACTAGATCTTGCAGCAAAGCTTCGATAACAGGGTTGTAGCGAGAATACAATTCATATCGATTGATCCCAATGTGGAATTTCAACCAGTTGGGATACGAGTCTATAGGAGTGTCTCCAGTGGGTATAAAGTCCTCCTCGGCATCATTTGTCCTACAAAAAAATAAGAGTTGGATTTATTTGTCAGACTGTGGCTTCCCACACTTTCCTTGTCAACAGATAAAGGGCTAAAATAAGGCCTGTCCTGGTTCCGTTCTCGCCAAAATATATATTTTTCATTCACATTTGAAGTTATATTTTCATGAGAATTGATTAAGCATGGACCAATTTTAAGCTATTTGTGTTGACTTCTCCATTCACTCTACAAAGAGACAGCGAGGGAAAAGATAGATAGAAGAGATATAGAGGAGAAAGCCAGCGAGGACAACAACTTGCATTTATACAGAGAACAGTGGGGCAAAAGCGAGGGAGAAAGGAGAGTGATAGAAGAAGGAGGGGGAAGAGAGCGCAGAGGGAATAGAGGGGGGGGGAAGAAAGAGAGAAGCACAGGAGAGGGAGGGTGGAAGCTATTCCAGATCAGCTATTTCGCCCACAAAATATACAGTCAATTCAATTTGCAATGTATCCCGTGAAGCGCTTTGAGACATCTCAAAGATGTGATAAGGCGCCGTATCAAATGCAAGGATGATTATTATTATCGGAATAGTTTCCAACTCTCACCATCTCACGTGTATTGAAGGAATAATGTGATGAGATCTATGCAGTAATAACGTGCAGCACACCAACCAATCGCCAGTGTCTCTTGACCAGGGGGTCAGGCAGAGTCTCACTGCAGACTGGCAAGCTATAATCTCGGTATAATCCCTGTAATCTCGGTTGGCAACCCCTAGTTATGGGCGGAAACATGGCCCTGTTGCCTTGCACTAACGCACAGCCCATTGCTCTGTGGCGAAATGATAGGTAATATCTTTAAACTAATAATCCTTGCATTTGATATGGTGCCTATAACATCGAGAACATCTCAAAGTGCTCCACAAAATTCCCGTGAAGGCAGTGACTGTACTTTGTAGGCGAATGTCACAATCAACTTGCTTTATTTTAATCTTTGTTTCCTTTTTGTTTATTTTTGTTGGTTAGAGTTGATATTAGAATAACAATAATAATTCAAGCATTTGGTACAGTGCCGAGAATGTTAGAAAGTGTCAAAGTGCTTCACAGATGATTATTATGAACTAGTATAGCTATCAAGTGTAGTGACTGTGTGCTTGCAAGCAAATGGATCTACCTAATCTTTCTTTACTAACTCCATCCTCATACACCGCCTCTCCTCTTTACTTAATCTTCGCGGACCTGCCCTTGCTTGGATCGAATCCTATCTCTTTCACAGTCTCCACTTTGTTGCATCTAACGGTTTCCCCTCCAGCCCCCGCACTGTCACATCTGGCGTCCCCCAGGGCTCTGTCCTTGGCCCTCTGCTCTTTAATATCTACATGCTCCCCATTGGTGACATCATCCGCAGACATGAGGTCAACTTCCATATGTATATGGATGACACCCAACTGCCTCCACCCTCAACTCCAGGACCACTGGTGTCCTGACGGACTGTCTGTCGGACATCAAGTCCTGGATGAGGGCAAATTTCATACAGTTGAATGTGAGCAAGACTGAGGCCCTCCTGTTTGGCTCGCGCCAGCGCCTCAGCACCTCAGGCTCTGCAGCATCAACCTCCATGGTTACACACTCAACTCACCAAAGCCAGTCAGGAACCTCGGTGTCTTGTTCGATCCTCAACTGTCTTTTTCCCCACATCCAAGCCATGACCCGCTCTGCCTTCCTTCACCTCCGTAACATCGCCCGACTCCGCCACTACCTCACCCCTCAGGCCACTGAAACTCTTGTTCGTGCCTTCATCACTTCCAGACTCGACTATGCAAACGCCTGCTTGTCGGCCTTCCCAACTCCTCCCTCCACAGACTGTAGATAATCCAGAACTCTACAGCTCGTGTCCTCTCCCGCATCAAACTCCGTTACCCCATCTCCCCACTCTCGCCCGACTCCACTGGCTCCCTATCCTTCAGAGGATCCAATTCAAGATCCCGTTCCTCACCTACAAAGCCCTCCATGGCATCGCCCCACCCTATCTCTGCGACCTCCTAACCCCCTACCAACCCGCCCGTTCCCTCTGCTCAGCCAGCTCCGGCCTGCTCCACGTCCCCCGCCCCACCGCGCCCACCATTGGCGGGAGAGCCTTCAGTCACTCTGCCCCCAACCTCTGGAATTCCCGCCTCAAAACCCTCCTCTTCGACCATGCCATCGGTCACACCCTCCCCTCCCTGACCCCAGCTCGGGTCTGAAATGCTGTACACTGTCCAGCGCCTTGGGACGTCCTCCCGATGTGAAAGGCGCTATACAAATGTAATCTTGTTGTTGTTGTTTATATTGGTTTATTGCTATTTGTAAGTCCATCAGTCCATTTGCTAACAAATACACAGTCACTGATAACAATAATAATCCTTACATTTGATATTCACACTTTTCATGTTGGGGGAATGTCTTAAAATGCTTCACAGGATGTATTGTAAAGTTCTGTGACAGTTTTGTAGGCAATATGAACTGCACTTGATAGAAATAGCCTGGGAAGCACTTTGTTAACAAATGTCAACACATAGCCTGCTTTTTTAGTGTTTTTGAACAACACCCTGCATTATCTACACAGCCTGGTTGGTTCATAAAGTCAAGTGAGATAGACCTGCCAGAAAGTTAAGAGTTAAATAAGCACGGCTTTGAAGGCTTTAATCAAAGGGCTTGTGTCACTTCATTGGTGTATTTGGGACATCGCTGTGCGCAAACTGGCTGCCGGGTTCACCCACAGATACAGATTTGCAGTAAATCCTGTGAAACACTTTGAGACGTCTCGACAAAGTGATAAAGCAGAGTGGGAGTCAAGAGTGGTGAATTGTATAACCCTGTCCCACAGAGTGATCGCACCAAAATTCATCTAAGATGCTCTTAAGGGTTAAAAAAGGAGTGTTTTTTGTCATCCAGTAATGCGTCAGACAGCATTTATGAAATACAAGATTCTAATGATTATTTTATGATATGTTTCTCATTAGATGTCCAGAAACAAAATGACTAAATATAAGGTATTCCTAAACAATCAGTTGTAATAATAATAATAATCCTTGCATTTGATACACCTTTTATACTGAAAGCCTCAAAGCGTTTCACAGGAAATACTGTAAGTGTAGATGACTGTTGTTTGTAGCGAGGTCAGTCAATTTGCACACGCAAGTTCCCACATTATGTGAATGCTGGATTAATTATAGGACTGCTAGCTAGGACACCAGGAGACACTTCTTTCTCTTTTCCAATAGTATCATGGGATCCTTCATGTCCACCTGAACAAGGGGACAGCCCATGGAAATACAGTGCTCTCTATTGTACCGAACTGGAGTGTCAGCCTACACCAAGAGCTCGTATAGTGAATCCTTATCACTTCAGTAACAATCCCACCTTCCTTACCGGATTCATATTCTATCCATTACAGAGATGTACAAACCAGTTTCCATCATCAGAAACCACAGGTCTAGGAAATACACAGAGCCAACTATTTGAATGAATAAAGATCGCAGGTGTGAGCTGTGTTTAAATGAATTGTGCCCAACCAGAAGAGGGAGTGAAATTTAAAGCGTATCACGAACACATTCGATGTGATAATTGCTTCATTGGATATGTTATGAAACCCTGCAAGTTTCACCCCATCTACGCATGTATCATATCCACACTGCGCCTGTAACATGTGTCTTAATAATAGTAATAATAATAATCCTTGCATTGATATAGCGCCTCATCACATCATTGAGACTTCTCAAAGCACTTCACAGGGTACACTGTATAATAATAATAATATCCTTGCATTTGATATAGCGCTTTTCACGTCGGGAGGACGTCCCAAAGTGCTTCACAGAATATACTGTAAAGTGAATTGACTGTATATTTGTGGGCGAACACGGCAGCCAATTGCGCACAGCAATGTCCCACAAACAGTCGTAGATTGAAAATGACCAATTTATTATTTTTGGTTTTGGAGGGATTATTATTAGGCTCTGTGTGGAGTAAGGAAACTTGCCCAAGGTTTCGCCCTCTGCCTGGAATTGAACTCAGGTCGCTCGCTTGCAAAGCGAGTGCTCTAACCACTGAGCTACAGGACTCCAATCATTAATGAAAAGAGAGTAATAGCCGTAAACAAGCTTAAGGCAATCTGCTGTTTGCAACACCTGTTTTCCTGCAGAGGGGGAAACTGCACTTTCCCCCTTTTGTTTTTTTTGACCAGTTGAACCAGTCAAAATGTAAGTTGAAGTCTTTGTGAATAGAATGACGCACACCTGTCTCTTCTGAATCCCGCCCAAAAAAATTAAAAAGAACTGAACATCTTATTATTGCTCACAGGTATTAATTGTCGATTGCCCACACCTGGAAAGAAACACAAGACCATCCCCTGAAAAAAGTCAACTGCCCCCTTTACAGGAACCATCACCTACCAATTTGAGTGTTAATGAAAGGTTCTACTTTTCCCCATTCAGTCCAGCCTGGATAGCTGATGGGCAATAGAACTTTAAATTGCCCAGTTAAATAAATAACCCTTGCATTTGATATAGTGCCTTATGAATTGACATGCCTCAAAGCGCTTAGCAGGATTTATTGTAAAGTAACATGGATAAGGAGTTGATCATGCTACCTGGGATTGAACACATGTGTGGTGTAATTACACCAAGACTCGAGGAGCCCTGTATACTTTCCCAAAACAACTTTCAGATACTTCAAAACTCCCAAGTTTCATTAGAGGACGTGCCAGACAAGAGCCAGTGAGTGAGTAATTATTGGAAATGCGGCTTATTCAGTTGGGTGAGCATTGAGGGAGCTATTTGAAAAGATTGCCTCAGAGAGTGCATACACAGTATGGGTTGTGTTGTCTTGTCAGGGAGTAAAGAGCACAAGTGGTGGAGGCAGATCACACCAGTGAAATGTGTGTCCAGGGATAAAATCTCAGGTAATAAATTCATTTCTCAAACCAGTGTTTGAGCTGCTTTCTTAAAAATCGATTGTGCGCCTTTCTGAACTGGGAAGGGAACACATACTGTCTTTGTTTTGTAAGGCACTCTCAAGAGTATTTGTTGACATTTTGAGTTAATAGCACAAAATGATATTTAAAAAAAAAATCAATTTCAGGGTCACGATCCTTTTGGCCTGTGGCCACATTGCTGCACAACCCATTTGAGTCCTTGGTCTCATATGGTTACATTTGTCTCTTGTGATAGTGTCTTGTATGTTGTTTTGTTCAGGTTTTAGCGTGCCACCTCCTGTTTAACCGTGATAAACAAAGTGACTTAGCTGAGACTATTATGATGCAAGCGTGGTCTGTGTGGGGGTTTAAAAGTGTCTGTGTTGTAGATATATGGCTGAACCCCCCCCTTTCACTTTTTAAAATCACTCCACAGCGATTCCTCTCCCACTAGAGAAAATGACCAGCCCAATTTTCTGTTGTGCGGTTAAACATTCCCTGCAGCTGCTAAAGTCAGCATGATTCAAAGCAGCCCATTATGTTGTGTGTAGGCAGCTCAAACCAGCTCCATGCCTGGACCCGATACTCACTGCCTCCAGTCAATTTGTGAAAGCTCCATCTGAACTCAGGCGAAGCGAGCTGCTGAGGCTGGTTGAAGGGGGAGGAAGTAAAGCTCAGAGGCTGGGTCCAGACCATGAGTCGATAAAAAGAGAGACAGACACTGGAGAGGCGCTGACAGTCAAAATACTGAGCCAACGCCAGATTGCAGACTGTGTGATAGCAGTATCCTCGTGCACAGCAAAAAAAAAACATCTCAGGGAGCAAGACTGTTTCCAGTTCTACTTATTCAGAAATACGCTTTCTTTCCAAAGTTAACATTTTTGTATTGAAAGCTGCAGCATGATTTTGTAACATAATAATAATCCTTGCATTTGGCGCCTTTTCACGTCGTTGAGACATCTCAAAGTGCCTCATCGTATATAGTGTCAAGTGGATTGACTGTATTTTCTTGGTGAAACACGGCAGGCACTTGCGCACAGCAGCGTCCAATAAACAAGCATGGATTTAATGATCAATTTTTTTTACATACACGGCAGTTTGTAACGTCATATTACAGTATATCCTGTGTCATAAATATGAACTTAATATCTGCTGATTTCAGAATACACGGTCACTCCCCTTTACAGGTGAAGATGTCCTTTCCAACATGAAAGGTGCAGTATCATCTACATAATAACTTGGTTTAAAACCTCACCTGTAGGACGTCAGTTTCAACCGTGCTATCTCCCCCACACCGCCCATCCAATATGAATCTAAACTATGAGCCTAAAGTTGAGGTTTGTGAATGGTGGGGTCGGGGAGTTCAGTGAAGCAGTTATTGAGCTAACCTGCGGGTGAGGAAAGGCATGAATAAGGAATAATAATTAGAATAACGTGAGCGACAAGTACAATAAATGGTATGTGTCACCTGAGACATGCCTTCAGGTCAAAAGGCTCATCCAGCCGTACTTCTATTAGTTCAATCAACTGAACAAAGATCAAAGTGGAACCTGTCTATGGAAAGAATGTAGAAAATATGAACCCAAGGGCCTGGGTAATTTCAGGCATATGGGGGAAGAGGCAGATAAATGGACAGTCAAATGGTGAATGGATGGTTCTATCAGAGAGAGCACAGACAGGATGAGCCAAATGCCTTTCTGTGCTGTAAACCTTTAGGGTTCCATTCCTCAACTAATGGAAATAGTTTTTCTCTTCATCTTATAATAATGATAGTAATGCTTACATCGTAGAGTCCTGTAGCTCAGTGAGTAGAACACTCGCCTTGCAAGCGAGAGACCTGGGTTTGATTCCAAGCAAGGCGGAGTGTTTCCTTACTCCACACGCCTCTGTTTACTTAGCAGTAAGTAGGAATCTGGTTGTTATTCGATTGGTTTTGGTCACTCAAACCACGACTGTTTGTGGGACACTGCTGTGCGCAATTGGCTGCTGTATTTCCCCCACAAAATATACAGTCAATTCACTTTACAGTATATTCTGTGAAGGACTTTGAGACATCTCGTAGACGTGATAAGGTGCTATATCAAATGCAAGGATTATTATTATTTAATCCAGCTGCTTTCACATAAAAAAGTTTGAAATGAGGTTTATAGTAAACATAAAGGTTGTTATAGAGGCACACATATAGAGGCAGGTCATTTTCCAGTTATGTCCCATAAACAACAGTGAGATGAGCAGTCAATTCATTTGAATTTGGGTGTGAATTGTGGGATGAAGAAGGGAACATAAAGCTGGGATAAGTAGAAGAAAGGCTTCACGTTTCTTTGAAATAGCAATTGGGGGTGGGTTCGGGGACAGACAGATTTGAAATTTAATAATTTTTTTTTAAAAAAAGCTTTCATCCTATCAGTCAGATTCAAATTTGAGCTCAGGTGCAGAGGCGAAGGTTAACACGTTGTTCGTGGGTTTTGAATGCAATCAAATTGGATGTTGGACATTTCTTTCAACAAAGGCTTACAGCTGGAATGAGCATCAGATGGTTGTATGAAATAGTGAACAGCTGTTAACATTTTTTGTAACGGGAACTTACTATCAGTTAGAATTGATGCTGTAAATGATTATTTTATCTGCTCAAATCTCTTATCTCTAAGGAGAAAGAAGGTATACCATTTCTGTGTGTTTGTGTGACGAGAGGAGGAGAAATGCACTCGTAATATAATCAATCTCATCTTTATGCCTTTTGTCAATGAACATTTTCAAAATAGCTACAAAACCATTAAGTCATGAATAGCAACTTTTTTTTCTCATTAGTAATCATTGCAAAGATTCTGAATGTCAATTATAATCTATAGAAAGTTTTACTGTTGAGTAATATACAATGTATAGTAAATGGAACATAATAATGGCGTGCAGCAGTCTTAAGTACTTAAAATGCTTGGTTGGCAGATCATAAAGGGATGATTTCTGCCTGACGTTATTTATGTAGATTTACTGTCATGGCTATCTGGGTGTAAAAATGCATGTAGGTGCAATTGTGTCAATAATATAATAATCCTTGCAATATAGCACTTAGACCATCAATGTTTCAAAAAGCTTTACACATATTACAATGCAATACAAATTTAAATTGATCTTGTAACAAAATGCAAAATACTACAGATGCAATACTGCAGTCTGGGTTCTGACGAAGGGCTGTGGACCCGAAATATTGACTCACTATCCTTTCTCCATAGATGTTGCCTGACCTGCTGAGTGTTCCCAGCGACTTCTGTTTTTAAATTTACCTCGTGCCTTTCACTTTGGGAAGATGTCCCAAGGTGCTGGATAATCTAAAGTTAGCTCCCAGGTCTATCAATCTATAATCTTTATTAGCTTTGTATTATCTGCAAATGTAGTCCCTGTGCTTGTGACTCCTAGCTCCAGATCATTTACAGGCCTCCAGATATTTTCAGAAACAGAAAAGCCTCATAGCTTAAGACGAGGTGGAATTTCAGGGCTCAGGAAGTTTCGCCATAGCTTGTTGACTCAGAATTCAAGGAGTGCACATTGGACAACAGGAAATGTACGCATTACATATCAATATATTACAATAATTTGCATTTGCAATTGGATCAAGGCTTTCTGTGTTGCCAGCAACTGCCAGGATAAATACTATTTGAAATGTGTCCTAGGGACACATGCTCCAAGTGCACCCTTTGTACCACCCCACAAATATTGATCCTGTATCAATATTGATCCCACTGTTGAGCAAGAAATGTCCTTGAATGAACTGAACCAATATATAACAGTAACTTCCTTTCATTATCGTTCCTTGATGGCATGGTTCTCATTTAAGGCGTTGTTGTTTGCGGAGGATTTTTGGAGGCAAAACGTTTTCTCAGCATATTTTGTTCAATTTGTCACTGAATTTGTAAATAATTCGGGACTTGTTTTGATCCTCAGTGAAATGTTTCTGTTTATCAAGGTCGTGGTTGAGTGCCACTAAGTATCAGTTTCTGCAAAAGTCAAAAGCGCAAACTTGGTGGCAACGTGAAGAGAGAGACCGTATTTATTGTGAGGCAAAATAGATCGTTGGACGGTTTACGGAGATACCGTGTCTCTGGCCCAACTGGTTCTGTACACTTTTATCCATGACACCCAGAGAACAATTACTCGTGTTTATCTAACACCTTTCAAGAACCTGTCTTAAAGCCTTTCTCTTTGACTGTACCTTTGACAGCCTCCCTCTATTCCTTCCTCCCCCACCTCCTCCATCTCACACTCGGCTCCGATTCTCACTCTGTTTCCGAAAAGTGCTTCAGATGTTCCCCCTACATGAAAGTCGCTATATAAATGCAAAAGTGTTTGAAGGAAATACTGTACTGTATTGCAATATGGCTTATATTTACACAAACTGATTTACTGCTTTTGGAGATCCGAACTTGTTGATCAGTGAGAAATAATTGTTGCTTACTTTAGGCAATTATACAGACATCGGGGAAAAAAGTAACTGAATTATAGTCATTCTACAAAGCAAATATGACACCAGTGAAGCTGCTACTAGGATATCTTTATCAGTGTCATAATGAGGGGAAAATGGAGACATGTCATGTGTTAATTCATCAGTGACGAGTGCAAGGAACATTTTATCACCAATAATAATTAACACACCACATGTCACAAAATATCATCCTGTTAGTGCTATCTTATTAAAATAAGAACCAAACATCATTTTAACTGCAAGTAAAATATTTTAAAACTTTATATGTGCTTGTTTCTTTTTTCCCTCCCATATTCCCTTCTTCCTTGAAGATGTCATTTTTTTACTGTTTACCTTTTTTGCCTCTATTGTAACCTTTCCTCCCACTATTTTTGCCAGAAGTCACTACACTTTATAGAAAACTTGTGAAGTGTTTTGAGATGTTTTGATGTGCTATGTCAAATGCAAGCATTATTATCCAATTTCGGTCTAATAGCTTTCCAAATTCCCTCTTATATTTACTGGAACAATCTGCCTTCATCACTTTCCTAGATCATAAAGTTCCACATATTCACTACTCTGTCTGTTCACTCTGCATTGTCTACTAATTTGATCTCAAAATTACAGGCCCACTTGTTTAATATTGTTTGCCCAAATTAATAATAATAATAATAATAATCCTTGCATTTGATATAGCGCTTTTTATGTCGGGAGGATGTCCCAAAGCGCTTCACAGAACACACTGTAAAGTGAATTGACTGTATATTTGTGGGCGAACGCGGCAGCCAATTGCGCACAGCAGTGTCCCACAGAAAAGTGCCCTATCGAATGCAAGGATTATTATCAATTAATAAATAAAATAAACAAGCCTGCATTTGTTATTGAGCCTGCACCTTTAAAATGTCTCAAATCATTTCATGGTCATTTGTTGTCAAATATAGTGACAGTGTATTTGTTAAAACATTTACAGGAAAGGATAGAGGCAAAAAAAAGTACATGGATCATCATCTTATTGCTGTAATCCACAGAAGAAAAATAAAGCTCAGTAACAATTTGAGTATAGCTGAGCTACGTGCATGCGACAACGGTGAGTAAAATGCGACGTCTTGCAGCAGTTTCAATGTGATAAATCTGTTATGAAATGTTGCGTTTTCTACCCCAGTGGCTGGAATAACATTTTCAATATTCGGTCAACTGCAGACGCAGCGAATTCCAGGAGAATGTGAAGCAGACCAGTGCTAGCGGTGGAGTTTTCAGTGAAGGCTCATAGCGATTCAAAATCTTATTTCGGATTTGAGAGAATGCTTGAGCGACTATACTCAATCTTGACGCCTGCTCAAAGTAGGAATAGCAGGTCGATGGCCTTCCACATTGACTATGCAAGAGTGTTCTCTCACGCAGTTTGTCCAGGCTTCTGGTGATCAGAGCCCTTCAGCAAAGAGAGTAAATCAGGCTGATGTAGAACAAGAAATTGGTGTTTTATGTCAGCCTTCTTTGGTCAGCAGCAGACTGGTGACAGCCTGGCTCAGTTGGCAGCGCACTCGTTTCTGGGTCAGAGGTTTGTGGATTCAAGCCCCACATAGGACTTTGAGATGGTTGTCCAGGCTGACGCTTCAGTGCAGCACTGAGAGAGGGCTGCAAAGGTGAAGGTTAAAGATCTTGTGACACTATTTATTAATGCCAATCAATATTGAATTAATTCATTAATTGAATTGATATTTGATTTTGACATCGCACCAGTAAAGACGAAACATCTTACAAGCGTTTCACAAGGAATTGCTATAAAGCGTTGTGTATTTGAAAAGAGATGGGAGTTTCTACCTATGTTTTGGGCAATGATCCACCAGATAAATTAATGCTTCCCTTCAAGGCTGTATGGCTGCGTGCAAAAGGCCTGCCATCGTTGCCTAGACATCGTTACACTTAACATCAACTCCCATGTGAAATGCCATAAGCCAGTGTTATAAGCGTTGGATCAAATGCAGGGCTTATTATATTATAAACGTATCTCGGGTCACTAGCAAAACTGAGATGCTGTGAGAAGTTCAATACAGATAAAAAGAGATGAGGATCATTGTTACCAGATAATTTGGTCATTCATTCATTCATTCATTCATTCATTCATTCATTCATTCATTCATTCATTCATTCATTCATTCATTTACATATCTTTATGTAAATATGCTTGTAAGGGAACTAAGTATCATAATACGCAGTTAGTTTTGAACTTATCATTTAGTTGAGTTGCTCCAAGTTATTTATTTACATATATATATATATGGAGTCCTGTAGCTCAGTGGTTAGAGAACTCGCTTTGCAAGTGAAAGACCTGGGTTTGATTCCCGGCAGGGTGAAACCTTGGGCAAGTTTCCTAACTCCACACACCTGACAATAATCCCTCAAAAAAAAACATAATAAATTGGTCATTTCAATCCACAATTGTTTGTGGAACACTGCTGTGCTCAATTTGCTGCCGCATTTCGCCCATAACTATTCACTTTCCACTCTATTCTGTGAAGCACTTTGAGACGTCTAGAAGATGTGAAAAGCTCTATATCAGATGCAAAGATTATTATTATTTATTTCATGACTGTTTGTGGTACATTGCTGTGTGCAAATCGGCTGCCACATTGGCCCACAGAATGCACAGTCACTAGACTTTATAGTAAATCATGTGAATTGATTTAAGACTTCCCGACAACGTGATAAGTTGCGATATTACATGTAAGAATTATTAGCACTGTGGCTCAGAGAGAATTTCTCCACACTTCCTTTATGGGGGCAAGCAATCTGTTATGAATTAGCCCGCACTGTCATCTGAATTTCTGGTTCAGTGTGGCGCCAATAATGTCGTGTTGTACTTCTGTGATTTTTACTGGAGCAGCGATTGTTTAAATAACCTCCACATACAGGATTTATTTATTATTCCACACTCATATTTGATATTAGTTCATAAGGAAGTGGAAGTGTTTTGGCTCAGGGTGCCTGGGATGCTGCCAATTCCCCTGAAGGAACAGAACTGTGGGATGCACTGTCTAAAAGACACTTATACTTAATAAAAAGCCATTAAGGGTGTGGGGAAAGCTGCAGTATTTACAGCTGCCAATGGTATGATTCTACAAAACATATTTGAAAAGTGAACTAAAAATGGAGACTTATGCCAAGGAATGTCATTTATGCAGGTCTAACTTGTAAAATGGTTAAACACTCCCAGGCAACTGGGTATTGATTAGAAAGTAGTGATTTAAATACAAACTAGAGTGATGGGGATGGAGGGGAGGGAGGGGGAGAGAAAAAGTGATGGGGGAAGAGATATAGATTCTGATGAGAGGTAGAAAGAGTGACAGATAGGGGAAGAGAGAGAAAGAGTGATGGGGGAAGAAGAGAGAGATGTAGGGAAGAAGAGAGAGATGCGGGAAGGCGGAGAAGAACGAGCTGGGTGGGGGACAGAGAGAGAGAAAGATTTTTTCTGGAGAGAGAAGTGCTCTGGCATTTTACCCCGCACGAGGGGCACTATATAAATTCAAGTTGTTGTTGAGGGGTATGGGTAGATGCTGGTCTCCAGGGATAAGAACCAACACAATGTGATTGGCTTGTAGGATCTAACAGGCTTTTTCTGTTCTAAACTTTCTGGGTGGAAGGAAATGCAATGTTGTAATAATTACTGCAAGGCCCTTTCACCCATTTTGAAATAAAAGGCAACTTCTTTCTCTCTCCAAAAACTCCATAGTGCTAAATGATAACTTTGTAACATCTTTACTCGTCTCTGAGTCAGAAAGTTGTGGAATTAAGCCCTACCTCAGGCCTTTGAAATCTTATAGTCTTGTCTGACGCTCTAACGCAATGCTGGGAATGGGCTGAATTGATAGAGATACTTCCTTTGGATGAGATATTAAACCAAGGTCCCACCTACCTGTTCAGGAAAGCATTAAAGATCCTGTGGTACTATTCAAAAAGACAAGGGCGTTTCTTCCAATATCCTGGTCAACAATCCTCCAGATCAAATTACCCATTCTTGTTGTTTATGGACATTGCTGTGCACAAATTGGCAATTGCAATCGTCTACAAAATACCACAGTTACAACACTTTATGCTAAATCCTATGAAGCAAGCACTTTTGGACGTCCTCTTGACATGAGAGGCAACATATCAATTGTAAAAGATTATTGTAACTCCTGCACAGCTTGTGTCTGCATTCAGCTGCTTAGCTGAAAACAGAATTAATGAAATTCAAATCCTGTTTGAACTCTGCTCTTCCTCATTCGTACAAATCTTTGGGATTGTTTGGAACTGTTCTGTACAATAAAGGGATAATGGATGGCTCCAGTTTCCTCTTTGTTTTCTCCGTGTAGCTTAAAAAGTGAAAACAACCTGCAAGTAATTGTAGAGCATCTGACACTGGGCGCAGAGGAAGTATCACTTAAGGAAATAATATATGAGAGTCGGGCCAGAAAGGATCTCATTGATGTCTATCGTCTGACAAAGTCAAAAATGGATTTCGTGGCCACAATGGGTAAACCACATCCTGGAGTGATGCATTAAGTCTACGACCACAATAAACATTCAGAGACAAAATCTCAAAGCATTTTGAGAAGTATTACACTTCTTGTTGAATCGCATTGCTTGATTTTATGCACAAACTGCCCCTGATCTCTGTGTGCCTCTATATTATCCTTCTCTGTCTCTTTGTATCATTCATGATCGCTCTATCTGTGTCATCGGTGAGCGCTTGAGCTGAGAGCCCAGCAGCGTGAGGAGCGAACTGAGTGAGGTGGAACAGAGTGAGAATTCTGTTAAGGAATTTGGCGAGAGTGGGAATTTGGTGCAGAGGGGGAAAGTGGTACATAATTATAAAATATATAATAGTTATATTAAAATAATATAAAATATGTCTGGGAATATGGCAGCGCAGCTGAGACTGGTTGCATGCACAATGAGGGAACTCCAGGATGCTTTGTGCTTAACTAGTGCTGGGGGTAAAGGTATAAACTAATTTTGAGGGGGGAAGGAAATTAGGATGTAGGATCAGGGTAGAGAAACAAGTTATGTAGAGGGCTGGGCGTGACGAATAGCAATGTAATAAGGAGTAGTCCAGAAAAAGGAGGGATTAGACAGGGGAGAAATGCAGAGCAGACTCAGTCGGTCTTGGAGTGTATGTACGTAAACTTTGAGGAAGGAAGGCTGACATCCTCTTCCTTTCCAAATCTGCAGTACAACTGCACAGAGCCATGGAGGTTAAGGCACCTCAGAGGGTGTTTTGTCAGTATGCAGTGGAGCATTGAGCCCTGCAGGGACGAGGAGGAAATAAGGTGGGAAGCAATGAGCGGCCTTGACAATGGAATGTCTTGCTGTGCAATGGCAATGTATTCCTGTACTGAGTGGAGTTGGCAGGGGTCAAGGCCTTGTTACCCTACTCGCTATAATGTTCCCGATCCCTGTCTCTTTTTGTAACCAATGAGTTGACCTTAATCCACTTGCATTTCTCACATTGTTAATTTAATGTTTACGTTTTCTGGAGGAGAAAAGCAAAGGAGCTGCAGCGGTAAAGCCCCAAATATTAAAAGCTCTTAATGTGAAGATGAAATTCCAAATTGCTCGGTGAATTGGTGATGAGGGTCGTGAGTCAGATTTGTTTTGAAGTTAGATAGATTTTAGGTGCCAGCAGCTGTACAGCTAGTCCTGTAGAGCTCACACAAAGTAATGCTGAGCACCCTTATAAACAAACATTGGCATCAACTGGTGAGTAAAGGGGATTTCCCATTTGTAAGTAACCAATGTGTAAGGTTCCACAAATAACGTGATGCGATTGAACAATTTTCTGAAGGATCATCGACGAGAACCCTGGGAAAAACACTTCTCTTTCTAAATAGTGATCTTTAACTTCCACTTGAGAAGACAGAAGCGACCTTTGTTTTAATGTCTAAGCTGACATTGCAGCTGCGATGCCAGCTAACACATTAAAAATACAACGTCTCATTGATGTGTCAGCTCAACGTGTCAACACGGGCTTAAACCCACAGCCTTATGACCCGGAGGCAAGAGTGCTACTAACGGAGCCAAACTGTAACAGATTGATGCAGCAGAATT